GCGGAAAAACTCTTTAATTCAACGAGTAGAAATAAACAACAATCCTCTCGTCCGAATGTAAATTAATTACAATATGAGCATACTCAATAAACTGCCCGAGGGCTTACATCATTAAAGAATCAAGAAAAAGGGTGTAAACCTTTTACAACAATGGCATTCTGCCAACATAAAAGGGGCCCCGTGGCCAACAAATAAGAAGATCCAGAATCTTGTAGCACATCCTGCTTATTACCTGAAAAAGATTCAACAAACGTGGGATGAACATATAGTCCAGTAGGGATCTCAACATGATCCTCAACAATAACAACTTACAGATAGCTATGATCATGAATGCTCAGTCTCATACTAGAATACTAATGTGGCAGTTTATACAAAAATATACATAAGTATGAACTTTTCTAAAAAACAGCCATTTCATTCAACGCTCTAAGAGATTCATCTTTCTTTTCTTTTCATTATCCCTGGTTCCCAAACTTTTATAACAATAACAATATCTTAGAAAACAATTTCACTAAGCCCACTACCTTTCTCTCATTTTCCATACTTACAACAGATTTTTCCTTTTTCAAAACATACTTTGAAATACCGAATTTTCCTTCACACTTTCCCAAAATCTCACAATGGCATTTTGGTTTGTTCCCAATACATTCATATCTATACATGCATGCCTTTGATAAAAGGGAGATAACAAATCATCAACATGTATATAATCAACAAATGAGGTAACTCGGCCCTCCAAAACTGTAACCATCGCAATCCATGATATACTCAGATACACTGAGACAAAAACAATAAAACTCTGCTCTACCGGCTATATGCACAGTAAGCCAAGGATACAACTCTCACAACGGTATGCCATTTTACCTGGCGCTAGCTGGAAGGGTGTGGTACCTTAGATTCTCAGCACAGTTAGTTCTCCAGGCACTAGCTGGAAGGTAACGGTATCTCTGATTATAAGCGCGGTGTACAACACCAATAATCACAATACAATAGAACATAACCAACAAGTGTAATACATACACATAAACTATCAAGATACATAAGCAATGTGTTAAAGTATATGAACACATAAGTGTGTGTGGAGTACATCCCCTATCTTCTCCCACACACTGGAGTACATCCCCTATCTCCTCTCTAACAATTATACATATATAATGTATCATAGCACTTCATTACGTACAATGTTCAATCAACACAGGCGTAATGCATACACAGCAATTCAACACAACCATGTCATCCTCCACCGATGACCAAGGACAAAACCTCTAGATGCATGATTTTAATACACCTATTATAAAGACTCAACTCTCATGAGATCTTAAACCCAACAACGACACTAGTACGATAGGTAAGGGTAAAACCCCCAAATGTGTGTATACAACACTCATGATACAATAATTCAATTCTCATAATTATTTTCTGAAACTCCCATAGAGTTAACATTTTATTTCCCATTTCCAAGATCAACTTCCAGGATTTTCCAATTCCAAAACTCCTTTTTCATTTCACAAAACCAATTCCATTCATTATAAAGTCATAACCTGACTCGATTCAATTCATTCATTTCAAAACAACCCCAAAGCCATAGTTAATCCCTTAGGCATTAACACCTTCACCCAACTCATATTAACAATAGAGACTTACAAACATTGATCAACTACCCTCCATTTTAATTTACCAAATCCAAAACATAATTTAGGGTTTTTTCTTCTTTCCACAATAACATGCTAATTTACACTCCAATTAGCCCAAAGAACCATCAATGATAAAAACAGTCATTCTCAAACAACCAACCCTAGGTTCCCTCACATGGTTTTCAAAGGAATTCAACATGATATGATTTTCATGCAATACAAAACTACCACATGTCTATCTATAGACGGAGTATTGAAAAAGAACAAGGAGAATCCCTGCCTCAAACAGAGAGACCAAAAGGAGAGGAAGGTGAAAACCCGAAATGCTCCAAACACCAACTAACTCGGATCAAAACGTAGCCCTCAACAAATTCCACACTTTTTACAAAGGCCCAAGGATAGAAGATCACTCTTACTATATCAAACCCTAGAGAGAAGTTGTATTTTAGAGAGAGAGGCTCTCAAAATAGGGTTTTGAAAAGTAAGAGAGAGAGAGAGAGAAAAAAAAAATGTGAAAAGTGATTTAAAATATCACAGTCCAGATCTGATATACGTATGACCCGCTCGAGCAGATAATAGGACGCTCGAGCGTCAAACACAAAAACTGAACCCGCTTGAGCTTAAAAAGACCCACTCGAGCACCAATACACAACTGCAAAACACACCCGCTCGAGCGCAAAAGGGAAACCCGCTCGAGTGTAGATTACTTTCTTCTAGCATTTTTTACAGGCATTGAACAGCCGCTCGGGCACAAAAGAACCCGCTCGAGCGGATCACCAAAAACCTGGCAACAACACTTGAGACCAAAACTCAACCAACCTGTTCGAAACATGCCCAAAACATTTCTAAACTCAATTACTAAGAGTTAAAGGATGGAACTGCAACACAGACAACAACCATCAACCACGGAACTGAGTCCGGGACACTGTTAAACAGAAAAGGAAAAATCGGGATCGTTATAATTTGTGTGTGTATGTATATATATATATGTATGCATGTGTATACAAATAGAGACAGAGAGAAAGAGAGAGAGAAATCAAGAGGGAGACAGTGAGAAGGAGACAGAGAAATAGAGAGAGAGATATAGAGAGAGAGAGATGAGAAATAGAGGACATACTTGGGAAAGAGACAAAGCGATGATCCAGCAACCCTTGTGGTGATGGCAATTGAGACAAAGCTATAGAGAAGAGGGCTGATGCGTGAGTGTACCAGTGTATAATCAATTATATATGGGATCAAAGTTGTGTATATATGATTTGTTTATGTATATATATGTATGTGTATGTGTGTGTAAACACAAAGAGAGAGAAAGAGGGAAATCGAGAGGCCTCTGTGTGAAGGAGATAGAAATCGAGAATGAGATATAGAGAGAGAGAGAGGCGAAATAGAGGACATACCTGGGAGGGAGACAAAGCGATGATCCAGCAACCCTTGCGGTGATGGCAATGGAGACAAAGCAGTGACAGAGGCGAGAGTGAGAGAGAGAGGGTAATGGACTTGTATTGTATCTCTAGTTGCTATTGTATTGCAATAAGAACAAAACCCATTTTTTTTCCGACCAAACAAAGTTTTCATTGCTAATTTACTTAGGATTAACACGAAAATTTTAATCCTTTCTCCAAAAATTTTCGTCGCGCTTGGCTACTAAATTTTAGTCGGTAAAAGCGAAATAAATACTGACTAAATTTTTTTCGCAGCTAAAGATTGCAGATTTAGCGACCAAAATATTTTTTAGTCCCCCAAAACCTTATTTTCCACGACTAACACACAATTAGTAGCCAAAAATGAAATAAATACCAATAAAATAAATTTATAATATCTAAAGATTGGACATTTAGCGACCAAAATATTTTTTAGTCTCCCAAAAATTTATTTTCCACGACTAACACACAATTAGTAGCCAAAAATGAAATAAAAACCAATAAAATAAATTTATCATATCTAAAGAAAGTACAATTAGGGACCAACTTAATTTTTAGTTGCCCAAAATGATATTTTTAACGACTAACACGTAATTAGTCGCCAAAAATAAAGAAAATACCAACTAAATTTATTTTTAGTAGCTAAGTGGTGGACTTTTGCCGACCAAATATTTTTAGTAGCTAATGTGTGTACCTTTGGCGACCAACTATTGTTTAGTAGCTAATGCGTGTACCTTTGGCGACTAAAATTTTTTTAGTACCTAATGCATGTACCTTTGGTGACTAAATTTTGTTTAGTCGGTAATATTAGTCGCCGAATGTGCTATTTCTTGTAGTGTAATGTATGGGTCTTTATTAATTTTTTGAAAAATCTTAGGAGAGATAAATGAAATTACTTTTTGAATATATAAGTGCAATCTTGAAATTTTTTACTCATAGTACATGATGTCATCATATTCTGATAAATAATTAACAGAACATTAAAGGTGGGGAATATTAATAATAGTTTCAAAAGTAAGGGTGGTCTCTATAATTATTAAAACTACAACGGGGTCTTTGTAATTGTCAAAAATCTCAGGGGAGGTGAGTGTAATTTGCCCCCCCAAAAAACTTAGGATTTGAAACTTATAATAAAATAAATTTTTAATGTTGTCAATTTAAATTTCAAAATTTTGATTTGATTTCAATTTAAACTATTCACCTATTTTTATTAAGTAAATCAAAAGAAAAAAATATATATTTTAGTTATTAAACTCAACGTAATTGTACATAAAATGTCTAAAATATCATTTTTCATTGAGTTTAATGAGTAAAATAATATTTATTTTTTTTTGTTAATTTTACTTAACGAAAATAAATAATAATTTCGATTGAAAACAAATAAAAAAATTTAGAATTTGAATTGACAAAATTAAAAACGAAGGTTTTAATTTGTTAAAGGGGTCAAATCTTAGGGTTATTTTTGTAATTTCCCACAACTTTTATATTCAATATATTTTTAATTTGAATTTGTCATTGTTATAATAATAGTTCTTCATTTCCTCAAAAAAAGTCTTCCCATAATTTTTAACAAGTCTTCATTTTCCAAGCCACTTCAACTTATATAAGGGGTTGTTTGGGGTGTCCTAAATAAGTGCATTTTTTGTCTTTTTAGACTAAAAAGTTGAGGTTGAAAATATGAATGTTTGGATTAACTTTTTGACTTTTTATAAAAAAATGTGTATTAAAAAATCGTATAAATTAATATGTAGGAGAAAATTAGTATTGAAAGTTGTGCAGTCGTAATTGTTGACTTTTGGTGAATAGTGATAACTTTTTAACTTTTTGAATAACTTTTTAACTTTTTTGAGACTTCCTAAACTTGACCTAAATTCAACACCAAGCCTCTTTCTCTCAATATCTCTCCCATTCATTCATGCAATCATTCTGTCCCAAAAATGGAACATTTGATACCTTTTGTGATCACTAAACTTTCTGCAACAGAATTAAAAGACGGCAGGCTCTTCGGCAGGATAAAAGTCTACGCCACTATCTCCATCTCCGGTGGCCCTCCAACGCATAACACGGAGTTCACAACCCATGTCGATATGGAAGGAAACAACAATCCCAGATGGAACACTGTCATGGATTTTAGACTCCATGACCCATCTCTCCCAAACAACCTCCTCTATCTCAATTTCAACTTCCATTGTCGTCGAAACTTGGGTTACAAATTCATCGGCGGAGTCATTGTCCTCATCAATCACCTCTTCGCCATGATATCTAGTAATAAGACCGCTTCTCAGGCGGTCTAGTATCCAGTTATGATGTCTTCTAGGGAGTTGCGTGGCTTTGTAAACTTTTGTTTCGGATTTGGGAACTCAATTTGTCCATTGGGACCGCAACAACCGGCTCTGCGGTGGCAACCACCACCACCACCGCATGGTAGTAATGCTCAGGCCAATGATGATCAAGCCAATCAATTTGATGATGATGATCAAGCCAATCTATGAGTGCAGATCCTCTGCCATGGTTCCTGCTGTGCTCTCCAAAACAACGTCGTTTTGTTTAGTTATTTTTTTTCCTTTAAATTATTTGGTTTCCCGCTCTTCTCTTTTCTCTTCTCTTCTCTTTTCTTTTATTTGTTTTGTTCCATATAACCTAACAGAGAGAGAGACGAATTGAGAGACCAAGGAGGAGGCGGAGGGCTGTGACGACGAAGGAGAAACGCAGTGGATGGCAGGCGATGGTGACTCCGGTGGTGACGCGACAGCAACAAGGCGAGATTGCAGCGGCAGGGACGAGGTCTTTTTCATCATTCTCATTTGCTCCTGTTATATATATATATATATATACATATATAAATGTTTGTTATTGATTTGTTAAATGGGTTGTAATGGTTGAAGAGAAATTATCGACTATAAGAGATGCGGCTACTTCTTGTTAATTTCTCTTTAGTGGCCTCCACTTGTTGCAGATTTTATGTTTTTGATTATTGTACAAAAACAACCTAGATTTGTTTCAGAAAAAATTAGATTTATTGTAACAGAAAAAAAATTAGAATATTCAGATTTATTGTTCCAACAAAACAATTTTGACTTGTAGTTTGATAAGGGTTTGTTGTGGATTTTTTGTTTTTGATTTTAATCACAAACAGGAAAAAAAATTATTACAGCAGGAAAAAAATTCACAGAGGACAGATTTTTTGAGAAAACAAAAACAAACAATGAGCCTCCCTCTCCTCTCTGAAACGAAAACAAAAACAAAAACAAAAACAAAACTTTCTCTGAAACAGAAAAAGAAGACAAAGGGAGGCTTTTGTTGTAAATTTGTTGGGTTAGATTTGTTGTTTTTGAGGAGCACAAAATGAATATCTAGGATGATTTCTAATGAGAATGGCATCAAGGCCTAAGGGTCTAAAATGGGGTTCTGCACAATTTTGCTCATCCCACTCATTCTTTTATTTATTTATTTTTTTATGACGTGGTATAAATTACTGAATTCTAGGCTCGTACATATGCAAGATCTTGAGTATCAAAGAAAATAGTTAGCAGTTACATAATTTGTGCCTTCGAATTCCTTTTTCTTGTTGCATACAGGACAAGTGTAATATATTCATCTTTCTTGTACAATATTCAGCAGTAGTTGGCCACACTTGGTGCTCATTGATTCATTGTTTTAGACCATTGATTGATGGACCAACTCTTCCATAGTCTTTGATTAAGAAGACACTTTAAAGGTCACATATAAATTAAAATTTATTATTCAGATTAAAAAAATGTAGAGATACTATTTTTACTTATAGTTTACTTTTAGTTTGGGAAAGTCTTACATGGCTTACAATTAACTGATTGGGATGCTGCTGTAGTAGGTGTCAATCTTTTTGTTTCAGCAAAAATCTGTTGTGTATTTATTGGGTTAGATTTGGGTTAGATTTGTTGTTGATTAAAGTGATATGAGGTTAGAAATAATGTTGATTAAAGCAAAAATTGATTTTTTTTTTGTCATCTTTTTATAAAAATCTGTTCTGTTCTATCATCTTTTTATGATTTAGATGCTATTGAATTGTAGGTAATGGAACAAAATAATGTTGTCAATGATTGGAAGCCGAGATTGGGGATGTCAGTTGATTGTGAACAAGCTGCATATGACTTTTATAATACCTATGGAGGAAAAGTGGACTTCAATATGGCTAATGCAAATAAGAACAAACATACCAAGAAAACAACTTCACGGACTTTTGTGTGTTACAAAGAGGCAAGGTGTTGACAAGAGTTGCCAATGTGATAAAAAAGTAGACAATGTATGTAATTTTTTCAAATGTTGTTGTAATTGACTAGACTTCAATATTGTTGTATGTAACTATTTTCAATGTTGTAATTAAATAAAGTTTCATTGTTGTATTTAAATGGTTTAGTATGTGTATTTGTTTGCCTCTATGGCAATATGTTGATTGTCTTTTAAGCATTGATCGCTTTTAATACATTCATTAGAAAGAGTGCCTGCAACATTTAAACGTAAACATAGATTTAGAATTGGATTCAGCAAATACCCAAACACTTAATTTGCTCACATACAAAATTTAAACTAGTCTAAATTGTTATTACCTCTTAAATGTTGAGTTCAAGGTGGAACTTGGGGCCATCGTAATGATGAAGAATTGGTCGCACATGACAATATTTTGATTATCTTGTAAGTATTTGTTTCTTCAAATACATTCAATAGAGAATAGTGCCTGCAACATTTAAACATAAACATAGGTTTAGCAACTTTACAATAACTTTATTTGTCAATTAGGTGCATAAATATATAGGAGAATTTTTTTATTAATTATAAAGCGAAAATGGTAGAAATGTCAATTCATTAAAATCCACTTAACATACCTGAGTAGGGAAACGTAATTCCCAGGGTTTTTTTGTCCTCCCATGCCATTGGATCAATATTTGTTCCTCCAAAACTTGCAGCCTGAGGAGACCTTTTTCAACTTAGTAAAGTGCACAATCTTGAATTAGAACTGATGATACAGTTTGTTCCAGTGAATGGATCGGACTGGTCCAAGCTCCTCAAGCCCACGTCCAAATGATCAAGCCCACCGGATAACCTGCAAACAAGTGCAACGGGGAACTGGGTAGTCCCTCAGTGAACCCTCCGACGAGCAAGTTACGAAGAGAAGTAGAGTACAGAGGGAGAGATTAGAGATAGAAAAGCTTAACCTTCTTCTTGTCTTCAACGTTTGTGTTATCCCAGTTAGGCAACCCAAGAGGGGGGGTGAATTGGGTTATTAAAAATTTCACAATATTAAATATAACACAATATTCAGAATTTGAATAAATAAAAACAAACAGAATAATAATTATCAATATAAAAGTAGAAGAGATAGAGGATAGAAAAGCTTAACCTTCTTCTTGTCTTTAACGTTTGCTTATATCCTTTGGTAATCATTTCGCTGTCCCTTCCGATATGCCCTCATCGCCGAAAGTTTATGCTGTAGCTTACCTTGTTCAGGGTAAGGGTATCCTGTTTCGACGGAGAGGTGTTGTCGCAATAAATGCTGTGATGGGCTGCATTAATGGTGATGTGCAGTGACAATAATTTTGCAGATCTTTGTCTGCTGATGTGGCTCGTCCTTCACCTGCCATGTGTCTGAATGTCATCGGCTCTATATGCATGTTGGATTCCAACTATTCTGGACCTCACCACCTGGGTTATGTATTGGGCTCCAAGTGATGGGCTTGGGTTGTTCATAGTGATTCATGGCCTTCATGGGCTTATACACGTCAGTAGTCCCCCATTCCCGAGTGCAGCTTTAGTCCAACGAAGAGAATACTAATGAAGAAGATGAGGGTGTTAGGGATTGGCAGGATAGAGGTCGACCGGCAGTGGTGACCGAGAGGGGGAACCGACCGGGAGGTGGTCCGAGCGTGCAGGGTGACCGAGTGGAAGGGCCGACCACGAGAAGGGCCAACCGCGAAGGTTGGCCGAGTGGGAGGGTCGACCATGAGGAGGGCTGACCGCGAAGAGGGCCGACCGTGAAGGTTGGTCGAGTGGGAGGGTCGACCACATGGAGGGCCGACCGCGAAGAGTGAGGTAGAGGGGCGTGGGGCTCGAGAGGCGGCGTGTCACGTGGTGATTTGAAGTGAAAAAGACAGGGTAAGGGGAGGAGACAGTGGATCGTGGTCGTACACGTGGCAACATCTCGCCGATGGGGGGGGGAGATTAGGCGTTAGATCAGAAATGAAACGATAGGTCATTATGGGTGTTGAAAAGACAGTTTTGGCGGATGATTTGAAAAGTTTTCAAACTGGCGAAAATTAATTGGGATCCTTGGAATACGGGCAAACCGTGGGCTTTTGGCATTATTCGATTCACCTACTTGTTTATGAAAAATGAAAATATTCCAAGTGTGAATTCCTTTGTTGCTGACGATACACCTTTGCAACACCTTTTCAATTTCCTTGCACCTGCATCCGAAGCGATTCGCAGACATACCATAGAAATGGCCCAAGAAGAAAC